ACCCTGTCTCTACAAAAAAATTAAAAAATTAGCCAGGCATGGTGACGTGTGCCTGTAGTCCCAGCTAGTCGAGAGGCTGAGGTGGAAGAATTATTGCCTGAGCCCAGGAGGTTGAGGCTGCAGTGAGCCAAGGTCACACCACTGCACTTCAGCCTGGGCAACATAGCCAGATCATGCCTCTTAAAAAAAAATTATATTCAAGCCACAACATCTGTAAGCCACCAGCATTTGAGAAGTTGCTTCTCTCCATGGCCTGGCACTGGTTTTCATCCTGCTATTAGAAATGCATTAATGCTCCTTGGGGAAGGAGCCAGCTTCACCCACACCTGCCCTGTGAGCTGTGAAAATGTACACACACTATAAGAAGGAGCTGTGGCCAGGTGCAGTGACTGACAGCTGTCATCCCAGCACTTTGGGAGGCTGAGGCGGGTGGATCACGAGGTCAAGAATCAAGACCAGCCCGGCCAACATGATGAAACCCCATGTCTACTACAAATACAAAAATTAGCTGGGCATGGTAGCACGCACCTGTAGTCCCAGCTAGTTGGGAGGCTGAGGCAGGAGAATCGCTTGCACCTGGGAGGCGGAGGTTGCGGTGAGCCGAGATCGTGCCACTGCACTCCAGCCTGGGTGGCGAGAGGGCCTCCATCTCAAAAAAAGAAAGAAATGGCCGGGAGCGGTGGCTCAAGCCTGTAATCCCAGCACTTTGGGAGGCTGAGGCAGGTGGATCACGAGGTCAAGAGATCGAGACCATCCTGGTCAACATGGTGAAACCCCGTCTCTACTAACAATACAAAAACTTAGCTGGGCATGGTGGCGCGTGCCTGTAATCCCAGCTACTCAGGAGGCTGAGGCAGGAGAATTGCCTGAACCCAGGAGGCGGAGGTTGCGGTGAGCCGAGATCGCGCCATTGCACTCCAGCCTGGGTAACAAGAGCGAAACTCAGTCTCAAAAAAAAATAAATAAATAAATAAATAAAAAAGAAAGAAAGAAAGAAAAAAATATTAATGACTTGAAATCCTACCACTGTACAGTTAGCACTACACACACACACACACACACACACAATTGTATCAAGCTGGATCATAATATTTATGCTATTATAATGATTTTTCACAGCTATCTATTTTACTGTTATTTTGTTTTCTTTCCTCCTTCCACTTGGTAACCGGGTTCTGCATCCTGGTTTATGTTCTGAAAGGAAAATATCTCAGGCCTCTTCAAGCTGGGAACCACTCAGAGAAAATCTACCTCATTCTGTTCAAAGTCATCCCTCTGCTCACTGAGATGGATGCGTATTGGGATTGTTCCCTCCTTTAGAAAGACTTATCAGGAACCAAAAGAACGCAACCATTTCTCTCTCACCTGCCTGTGACCTGGAAGCCCCTTCCTGTCTTCAAGAGTTATTCCTGCCTTTCTGCATGAAACCAGTGTACTTCTTACATATATTGATTGATGTCTCATGTCTCCCTAAAATATATAAAACCAAGCTGTGTTCTGACCACTTAGGCACATGTCACAGGCACACTTCCTTAAGGAGGCACTTCCTTTAGGCACTTCCTTTAGGAGGTTTATTTCCTTTGGCAAACAGGCTGGAGGCTGGCACTCTCTAGCCTGTTGCCCAGGCTGGAGAGCAGTGGGGCGATCTCGGCTCACTGCAACCTCCGCCTCCTCTGCCTCCTGGGTTCAAGCGATCCTCCTACCTCAGCCTCCTGAGTAGCTGAGACTATAGGCACCCACCACCACACCCGGCTAGCTTTTTTTGGTGGGTTTTTGTTTTGTTTTTGTTTTTGTTTTTGTTTTTGTTTTGAGATGGAGTCTTGCTCTGTTGGCCAGGCTGGAGTGCAATGGTGCAATCTCAGCTCACTGCAACCTCTGCCTCCCGGGTTCAAGGGATTCTCCTGCCTCAGCCTCATAAGTTGCTGGGATTACAGACACGTACCACCACACCTGACTAATTTTTTGTATTTTTAGTAGAGACAGAGTTTCGTCATGTTGGTCAAGCTGGTCTTGAATTCCTGACCTCGTGATCCACCCGCCTCGGCCTCCCAAAGTGCTAGGATTACGGGCATGAGCCACTGTGCCCAGCTGCCTGGCTAGTTTTTGTAGAGAAGGGATTCTACCATGTTGCCCAGGCTAATCTCGATCTCCTGGCCTCAACTGATCCGCCCTCCTCAGCTTCCAAAAGTGCTGGGATTACAGGCAAGAGCCACTGCGTTCCGAATGGGTCATTACTCTAGAGGTAACCTCGTGCTTCTGATGACAATCGCAATTCCTCCCCCACTGTGCCTTCAGTGGGTATTAACAGTCTCATGGATGACAAATATCAGTGAGCAGGCCTCAGGAACTCTAAGATCATGATCATCACCTCGCAAGAGGCCAGTTCCTGCCTCAATACGTTTCTGAAGGTCCTGGGTGGCAGTGGTGGTGAATGCTGGCCATTCAGGCAGAGGCTCACCCATTCTTTCCTGGATGGGCATGAGAGGTGTGTGCTCCTGTATAAGAGCTAAAGCTGGCATTTCCCGGGGCTGGCCTGGGAACTGCAGCCAGAACAGGTTGGCACTTGTACATGCGCCTGCAGGGCCAATGACATCAGGGACCTGCTTGTCCCCAGGAGCAGGGAGGGATGCCTGGGAGGCAGCGTGGGAGGGAGGAGGAGGGAAGGACAGTGTCCTAAGGGGGAGAGAGTGCAGGGATGTTTGTGTCCTGACTCTCATTGTGTCTTGTATTGTTTACCCTTTCTCCTTTGGGGGCCCCCAGCTGCTCTTCCTCCAGGTACCATGTCTCTCCTCTCACAGAAGCCGACTCTTGCTCTGGGGGACAAAGGAGGCTTGGAGCCCCAGAAAGCCTCAAGACAAAGCTACTGAGCGGCGTGCAAGGGGCCAATGCAAGAGGCCCATAATAAACTCTTGTGCGTCTCACTACCTGATCTCCACCTCTGAATGGGACCAGGTGGCCACACGGAGGCTCAGGGTCACGAGGGCCACGCTGGTGGGAGTGGGGTGATGGTGGGGGTGCTAACAGTGGACTCAGGAGAGGCATTCCCCTTGCGGTGCGAACATCTAATCGGTTGAGGGTCGCAAGCTTGGGCTTGGTGATCCATCCGGGGACTGACATGAACACTACGCTTAGGCCTGGGATTTCGGGTCTTGTCCTGCAATCAAGCAGCTCAAGTTCCTAAACTGGAATTCAGCTACAGGGAAACTCCTAGCAACCAGTCAGCCCCTTAGTTACAGTGGGGGCACTAGCAATGCACGCCTGGGACCTCCCCTGGGAACGTTCGACAGGTCATGCTGAGGCCTGGAGGTCACGATCAGAGACAGAATACTCGGCGGAGTACACCTGTGCTAAAGACTGGATCGTACCCCGGTCTGGCCAGGTGCTGTGAGGGGGATGGGATTCACGCCTGGTGCATCTGGGGTAGCGGGAATCCCACTGGATTAGAGGTGGGCGTGGCTAACAGAGCTGCGGAGGCGGGGAGCTAAACGTAATCCAACATGGCGGCGCCCGAGGAAGGCTGCAGTGTGGGCGCCGCCATTTTGTTTGAGGTTGGGCTGAAGGATGCTGAAGGATGACTAGCATCGCTGTAGGGAGGGCTATGCTGGTTGGGCTCCCCCGTCTACAACCGCAAATCCCCAGTGAGCTTGCCCGAAGGAGATTGTCAGCTTCCTACATGGAGCCTACGGAGATTGTGCCAGGTTTAAGAACATGGTTAATTTAATAAAATCTCAACGTCAGACCATACTTTTAAAGAGAAGAGCTTTCGGCCGGGCGCCATGGCTCACGCCTGTAATCCCAGCACTTTGGGAGGACGACGCAGGTGGATCACCTGAGGTCAGGAGTTCAAGACCAGCCTGGCCAACATGTGAGACTCCCATCTCACTTATGGCCCAGGCTGGAGTGCAGTGGCTCGATCACAGCTTACTGCAGCCTCCACCTCCCTGGGCTCAGGTGATCCTCCCACCTCAGCCTCCTGAATAACTGGGACTACAGGCACACACCACCACACCCAGCCAATTTTTGTATTTTTTTGTAGAGACAGAGTCTTGCTATATTGCCCAGGCTGGTCTCTAAGTCCTGGGCTCAAGCAATCCTCTCACCTCGGCCTCCTAAAGTGCTAAGATTACAGACATGAGCCACTGTGCCCGGCCACAGCTTTATGTTTTTTTGTTTTGTTGTGGTTTGGTTTTTTTGTTGTTGTTTTTGTTTTCGAGACGGAGTCTTGCTCTTGTCACCCAGGCTGCAGAGCAGTGGCAGGATCTCAGCTCACTGCAGCCTCCTCCTCCCAGGTTCAAGCTATTCTCCTGCCTCAGCCTCCCAAGTTGCTGGGATTACAGGTGCCTGTCACCACACCTGGCTAATTTTTGTATTTTTAGTAGAGATGGGGTTTCACCATGTTGGCCAGGCTGGTCTCGAACTCCTGACCTCGTGATCTGTCCATTTTGGCCTCCCAAAGTGCTGGAATTACAGGCATGAGTCACCGTGCCTGGCCCTATTTTTTTAATGTATAAAACATAGGTGTTTTTTTGGGGGGGGGTATTGTTTACTTGTTCTTCATTTATTTTTATTTATTTATTTATTTATTTTTGAGACGGAGTTTCGCTCTTGTTACCCAGGCTGGAGTGCAATGGCGCGATCTCGGTTCACCGCAACCTCCGCCTCCTGGGTTCAAGCAATTCTCCTGCCTCAGCCTCCTGAGTAGCTGGGGTTACAGGCACACACCACCATGCCCAGCTAATTTTTTTGTATCTTTAGTAGAGACGGGGTTTCACCATGTTGACCAGGATGGTCTCGATCTCTGGACCTCGTGATCCACCCGCCTCAGCCTCCCAAAGTGCTGGGATTACAGGCTTGAGCCACCGCGCCCGACTTATTTTTATTTATTAATTAATTAATTTTTTAGAGAAACATTGCGTTTAATGGTAAAGCTTAGCACACCCCAGCACCAGGAATGGCATGGAGTTGCGGCAGCAGGGACAGGCAGGTGACCCCACAGAGCCTCACATGATGAAGAGGACAAGGAAGGCAACCATCAAACAGAAGAGCCCCATGGCCTCAGACAGGGCAAAGCCCAGAATGGCGTAGGAGAAGAGCTGCTGCTTGAGAGATGGGTTCCTGGCATAGCAATGATCAAGCTGCCAAACACCGTTCCAATGCCAGCCCCTGAACCAGCCACACCAACTGTGGCTGCCCCAGCACCAATAAACTTGGCTGCTGTGTCAATGTCCCAGGAGGCAACACTGGTCTGGAACTCCTGTCGGGCCACCTGGAGTGGGGAGCTGCTGTAGGAAGGCTGTTGAGATGAATTCTCTGGGTTATTCAAGGAGGCAGACACAGGCCTGATTAGACCCCTGATACAACATCGGATCAGAGCCGGAGAAATAAGTAATGCCCTGGTGGTCTGCATTTTTTCAGTCTCCCAGCTTTAGCCCTTGGTCTCAGTGCTCAGCTTCCCCTACCCCTATTTTTTATTTATTTATTTTTTTTTGAGATGGAGTTTCGCTCTTGTTACCCAGGCTGGAGTGCAATGGTGCGATCTCGGCTCACCGCAACCTCTGCCTCCTGGGTTCAGGCAATTCTCCTGCCTCAGCCTCCTGAGTAGCTGGGATTACAGGCACGCGCCACCATGCCCAGCTGATTTTTTGTATTTTTAGTAGAGACGGGGTTCACCATGTTGACCGGGATGGTCTCGATCTCTTGACTTCGTGATCCACCCGCCTTGGCCTCCCAAAGCGCTGGGATTACAGGTTTGAGCCACCGCGCCCGGCCCTACCCCTATTTTTTATTTTTTTGAGACAGAGTTTCACTCTTGTGGCCCAGGCTGGAGTGTAACACGTCGATCTCAGCTCACTGCAACCTCCGCCTCCCAGGTTCAAACAATTCTCCTGCCTCAGCTTCCCGAGTTGCCGGGATTACAGGCACGCACCACCACATCTGGCTAATTTTTGTATTTTTTGTAGAGGTGGGGTTTTGCCATGTTGGCCAGGCTGGTGTCCAACTCCTAAACTCAAGTGATCCGCCTGCCTCAGCCTCCCTGTGTTGGGATTACAGATGTGAGCCACCGTGCCTGGCCCAATGGGAAGTTTTAACCAGTGGGAATAACAATCACGGTGTATTTCCAGCAGTCGGGTGGCAGTGCAAACTGTACATTTAAGGAGCGGGAGAGAAGGGGGGATTAGAGAGAGATTTAGGATACTACTGAAGTAGTCCAGGTGCAAAATGTAATCAAGGCCTAAAACAAAAATAGGGAGCACTCTTGGCCAGTTTCCCTGTACCACGAGGCCCATTGCATGTGCACCTCCTGGCCCATACACCCTGACCCCAGGGAAACCTTTTCTTGAGAACTGGAACCAAGATCTTGGTGTTCTTTTGTGAAGTCAGAACTTGTTAAATTGGAATACAGGCAGGGCATGGTGGCTTATGCCTGTAATCCCAGCACTGTGGCAGGTCGAGGTGGGTGGATCACTTGAGCCTGGGAGTTTGAGACCAGCCTGGGCAATATGGTGAAAATCCGTCTCTACTAAAAACACAAAAATTAGCCGGGCATGGTGGTGCTCGGCTGTAATCCCAGCACTTTGGGAGGCTGAGCCAGGAGGGTTGCTTGAAGTCAGGAGTTCGAGACCAGCCTAGGCAACACAGTGAGACCCCTGTCTCTACAAAAATTAAAATAAGTTAATATTTTTAAAAAGCAGTGAGCATGAGGTGGGTCAGGGGGTTGAGAGACATTTGAAGAAAATAGGCCAGGTGCAGTGGCTCATGCCTGTAATCCCAGCACTTTGGGAGCCCGAGTCCCATGGATCATGAGGTCAGGAGTTCAAGACCAGCCCGGCCAACATAGTGAAATCCTGTCTTTACTAAAAATACAAAAATTAGCTGGGCATGGTGGCAGGCACCTATAATCCTAGCTACTCGGGAGGCTGAGGCAGGAGAATCGCTTAAACCTGGGAGGTGGAGGTTGCAGTGAACCGAGATGGCGTCATCTTGCACTCCAGCCTGTGCAACAAGAGTAAAACTCTGTCTCAAAGAAAAAAAGGAAGGAAAGAAAAAGAAAGAAAGAGGAAAGAAGAAAGAAAAAGAAGAAAGAAAGAAAAAGGAAGAAAGAAAAAGAAAGAAGGGGAAGCAAGGAAGGAAGGAAATCCTAGGGTTGAGGGACTGATTAGAGTAGGAACTGAAGGTTTTAGGGACACTATCAGATCGATTTTGAACAAGATGAGTTGGATGTATCTTTGTGACATCCAGATAGAGCTATCCATCAAACAGTTATATAAAAGGGCTAAGGGCAGCGTTTCCCAAAAAGGTTGCCGCCAAAGGTAGCCCCCCCCAGGGCACCTGCAGCTGTTAAAGGAAAGCTGTGGAGAGCTTTCCAGGGTCAAAGAAGTTAGGGAAACTTTTGGTTCAACAGGTGCTGAGCCTTAAGATGCTAATAACTACTAGGAAATTCCAAGAACAGGGGCATTCATTATTTAGTTGTTTGCTTGTTTTTGGAAATTGTGGTGGGGGGGTATCTCGCTTTGCGGCCCAGGCTGCCTTCCAACTGCTAGCCTCAAGTGATCCTCCCACCTCGATTTCCAAAGTGTTGGGATTACAGGCGTGAGCCAGCACATCTGGCCCCTGAAAATTATTTTGACCATGAACCGGTTTTTCTTTCCACAGAGTATCTAGGGGGAACTCGCCACGTTCCAAAGAACGGTTTGTGCAATGCTTGTTTTGAGCCTCGGAGAGAAAAGTGCAGAACAGCGCGGTGCGAGGCGGGGGGGGGGGGGGGGGGGGGGGCGGGGGGGGCGGGGGGGGCTGCGTTACCATGGCAACGGAAGGCCGGGCGGGGAGGAGATCAATAAAGAGCCTCTGGAGTGAGAAGAGGGGAGGGCTGCAGACAAAGGCGGAAGGCTGCCTAGATGGCTGGCCACCGCGCTTGGACAGGAGCCAGGAGACAAGAGTGTCTGGAAAGCTTATCTGTATGAAATCATATTTTTCCAGGCCATTTTCCTCTTTGTAGTTTATTGTTTCGGTTGATTTGTAAAAGCTCTCACTGAAGCTTTTATCAGAAAAATGTACAAAGCAACAGGACGGTAGCCATGGAAGCCAAAATCCACCGAGGAGTGGAGTGTCCACAACTCACCTACCAGGAAAACATATATACACAACCCATGGGTCCAACTGACCGAATTACTCCAAAGTGAACACACACTCCCCACAGTGACAATGCCAGGGTCAAGAAACAGAACATTACCAGCACCCCCGCAACTTGACTTTGTGTCCTTCCGAAGCATTAGCCTCCTACCTCCTTAAAGTAAACACTTTCCTCACTTGTACTGTAGATACATTTTGCCTGTTTGGTTTTTTCTGGGGGTGGGGTGGGAAACAAAGTCTTGCTCTGTCACCCAGGCTGGAGCAAAATGGCACGGTCTCGGCTCACTACAACCTCCGCCTCCCGGGTTCAAGCAATTCTCCTGCCTCAACTTTCCAAGTAGCTGGGATTATGGGCACCCTTCACCATGTCTGGCTAATTTTTGTATTTTTAGTAGAGATGGGGTTTCACCATGTTGGCCAGGCTGGTCTCGAACTCCTGACCTCAAGTGATCCACTCGCCTTGGCCTCCCAGAGTGCTAGGATTACAGGCATGAACCACCTCACCCACCTTGTCTGTTCTTTTTTTTTTTTTGACATGGGGTCTCACCCTTTCACCCAGGCTGGAGTGCAGTGGTGTGATCTCAGCTTACTGAAATCTCTGCCTCCTGGCCTCAAGTGATCTGCCCAACTTGGCCTCGCAGAGTGCTGGGATTACAGGCGTGAGCCACTGCATGCAGCACTCTCTGTGCTTTTTCATGTATCCTTGTAAGAAAATTTCATTTTATGACAGTATAACCAGCAACACAAAGTATATTTTTAATCCAGACTCCTGAGGACAAGTGTCTGAATTTATCATGCATGTAAGTATAGAGAAGAAATAAACAAGCAAAAATGTGTTAAAAGTTAAACGTTTATATAGTAATGTTGATTTAAATATAATTCTCTGGCAATGGAAAGTTGTTTTATTTACCCTTGAGGGTTTACAAAAAGTCACTATGAATACACAGTAACTGTACAAAGGATAAATGTCAGAATGCAAAGGACCTTTAGTTTACTTTTCTTTCCTTTTTTTTTTTTTTTTTTTTTTTTTTTTGAGACAGGGTCTCTCTCTGTCCCACAGGCTGGCGTGCAGTGGCGCGATCATAGCTCACTGCAGCCTTGAACTTCTGGACTCAAACGATCCTCCCGCCTCAGCCTCCCAAAGTCTTTGAAACTGCAGGCATGACCACTGCACCTAGTCTCACTTTTTTTTTCTTTTAATCATCTGAATTTAAGATTTGTCCATCGGCGGGGCGTGGTGGCTCACGCCTGTAATCCAAGCACTTTGGAGGCCACAGTGGGCGGATCACCTGAGGTTGGGAGTTCAAGACCAGCCTGACCACATGGTGAAACCCCGTCTTTTTTAAAAAAATAAAATAATAAAAATAAAAAATAAAAAAGATTTGTTCATCTAATTGTTGCTTTACCTATTTGCTCCTACATTTTTATTAGGGGAATTCCACAGTTATAATAATGGCACATGAATAATAAAACATTTATTTTCCTCTTCTAATATATATATATTTTTAAGACAGGGTTTCACCATATTGGTCAGGCTGGTCTTGAACTCCTGACCTCAGGTGATCCACCCGCCTCAGCCTCCCAAAGTGCTAGGATTACAGGCGTGAGCCACCGCGCCTGGCCTCTTCTAATATTTTTAATAAGATATTTTTTATTTGAACCACATTAAGCAGGTTTCAATAAGACAATCTTACAGCTAATTGTACCACTTAAAATTCTCTATTCACTAACCCTTGATGCCTAGACTAACATTCCCTAGATAATACTGATAAAGGCCAGGAGCAGTGGCTCACACCTGTAATCCCAGCACTTCGGAAGGCCAAGGCAGGTGGATCACCTGAGCTTAGGAGTACAAAACCAGCCTGGCCAACATGGTGAAACCCTGTCTCTACTAAAAATACAAAAATTAGCTGGATGTGGTGGCGCGTGCCTGTAATCCCAACTACTCAGGAGGCTGAGGCAGGAGAGAACTGCTTGAACCTGGAGGCGGAGATTGCAGTGAGCCGAGGTCACACCATTGCACTCCAGCCTGGGCAACAGAGCAAGACTCTCTCTCAAAAAAAAAAAAAAAAAAAATTGTACTTAGAGGGCTGTAGCCAGGTGCCCTGGCAACCTAGCATTTGTCCACATAGGCTAAAGAGTCAAAGCTTGAGAGCAGTCACCTGAATCCTGGTGGCATGCCTTGGCATTCTCTCCTGGAACACAGCAGTCTTGTGAAGAGCTATCACAAAGCTGTTTCTTATCTGCCTCCCAGATGAGAAAAATTATCTCTCTCTCTCTCTCTCTCTCTTTTTTTTTTTTTTTTTTTTAAGACAGAGTAT